AGGCTCTAGAGCGTGTGCTCACTTGCGGGGCCAGGGCACGCGCTGCAGGCTCTCACCGAATTGGGTGTGAGGGGTGCGCCCACCACATCGATGATGGTGTCCTTGGTGGGGTCAGGGCCAAGTCCAGATTCAGGCACCGTGGGCTCAGCAGAGGCTGGGGCTGGGCCAGATACGGGTGTGGCAGGGCCCCCCAGCACACCAGCCCGGGCCAGTGCCTCATGCCGGTGCCGCAGCATCTGTAGCTCGTACTCGCAGTTGGCACAGGCCTGCTTGAGCTCGTAGAGCAGCACCAGGTCACTCCGCAGCTCGTTGAACATGTGCACCAGCTCCTCCGTGGGCGTGGGGCTCAGCTCTGTGGGTGGGCAAGGGCAGCACAGGGGCAGAGCCAGAGTGGTGGACGTGGCAGTATAGACTGCGCTCCCCCACCCAGCCCCGAGCCACAGCCCCCACACTCACCAACGCCAAGCTCCAGCAACATCTGTTCCAGGGCCTTGATCTTCTTCTGTCCCACGGAGCTCGGCAGTTTCATCTACAATGATCCAGGCAGCTAAGGCCTCCTCCCCGACAAGATGCAGGGACTAAGGGCAGGGGCCAAGGGGTGGGAGAAGGCAACCCAAGGAGGTGGCTGGGTCCCTGCTCCTGTACTGTTGTATCCACCTACCCCAGGGCCGCATCTCCCCAAGAACCCAGTGAGACCACCTCTGTCTGCAGCAACCTCCCCAGTGCTCAAGCCTAACTGCCTGCAGCATCAGGCCACCTAGAGCCTGGGGCCCAAACACCCTAGAGCAGGCGACTCACGTACCCGCTGGCTCCGCAGTGTTACACCTGCAGATTTGAAGTCTGGGAACTTGATGCCTGCAGTCTCAGGAACAGCCTGGGGAGGAAAAGGGATGGAGACCAAGCCCAACTTAGTGCGTGTCTCACTCCGGGAAGGAGACACCACCGGTCAACTTACTTGACCTTCAGTCTCAGGCTAGAGGGAACGGGGCCTGACACATGCAGGCTGATGTGACCTCAGGTTGGCCAGCCACCCACCCCATCCTGAGAACCTGGCAAGGCTACCTCTATGTGCAGCAACCTCTCCTAACACCCAAATTCCGCTGCCCTCAGGCCACCTGGAGCCGGAAGCAGGAAGCAGAAAGCAGAATGGGCCCAGGGCTTGTCCCGCACCCCACCAGCTCTGGGTTCTCAGGGCCCACGCTCGGGGCAGGACCCTATGCAAGCAACCCGTCCACCCTGAGCTGGGCTTGCTTGGCCTCCACACCGGCTTCTCAGCTTCCTTCTTCTGAGGCAGCTTCTTCTTGGGGGCCTTGCGCTCTGTGCGCCGCTGTTCTGCAGTGGTGTCCGCTGCCGTGATCAGCTTCTGCAGGTCCTGACTACGTTTCTCCCGCTCCTTCTTCCGGGCCTCAATCTTGCGCAGCTCCTGTAGCAGGTACTCCTCCTCGGCCACCTGGGAAAGGGAGCGGTGATGTGTGTGTGCCCTGCAGGACTGAGGGCATACGGGGAGGGGGAGGGGCACGGGGCTGCCTGAGGGACTCGGAAGGGCTCATGAGGGAGGCAGACGGATGGCCAGTGGGAGGCAGGAACAAGCTGGGGTGCTAGCAGGGGGACCAGTGGGAGGTGGGGCATGGAGGGAGAGGTGAGGCTCGGGCTGACCTGCTCTGGGGTCCGGTTGTAGAGACGCTCCAGCTGTTCCTTCCGCCGTCGCTCATGCCCAGCATCAAATACTGGTATCTTGAGGTCTGTGCCTGGCACGGCCCGCACGTTGGCAAGCTTGGCGCAGATGTGGTAGTATCGTTCCTTCAGGTCCTCCACAGAACGCTTCTGAGGATTGAGACGGGGCACAAGGAAGGAACGGCAGGCATGGAGGGCGGCAGATGCACGCGGGCGGGTACACGCAGATGCAGGGTGCCGGCTCACCTTGAACTGCTGGTGGTCATACCGGTCGTGGATGACCACGAAACGCAGGTCGAAACGGCGGCTGAGGTCGAAGAGGTGGTCAGTTTCTGCCTTGGTCCAAGCGTCATCGTGCAGGTAGAGCTGGTATTCCTGCTCCGAGTACACGGGCACCTGTACAGTCTGTTGGCACAGAGGGGCACAGCGGGGCATGCCCCATCACATCGTGTCCAGTGGGCTCCTCTCTGTGCCAGTTCCTCCCCTTCACTGCAATTTACTGCCCGACTATGGGCTGGACAAACACACACCCTCTGCCCATGCCCCTGCAGAGGGCAGCCTGGAGTGAGAAATGAACCTAGCTGCTTGAACAGAGGCCCATGCCGGTGCTGTGACTGCAGCCCACGATCCACTCCTGCAGCAATGTTATTCGTCTTCACCTGCAGAGCCAGGGTAACAGGACACTCGCTCCTCCCCATAGGTAAGGTGTCCACCCAAGTGCTTCTGTGGAGCCTAAAGGCCAACTTTGGAGAGCAGTTGGCTCGATACCTGTAGGAAGGCCCACGACCCCCTAGTCCATGCCACTCTTGTCTGAAGCACCACTGCCACCCAGTGGAGACAGTGGGACCTGCAGGCCCCCCTCAAGCTCATCACACATCTACAGAGGGAACCTGACTGCTAGTCCCATCAGCAAGCCCACCAGGCCCCTTCCTCCCCTCTCCCACACACCATCGCCCAGGTCTTCCTGAGACCAACAGAACCACCACAGATGGGTCTGTAAGAGACTCGAGGCAGGCATCAGTGCCAGACTGGCCAGGAAGTTTCTCTGTTAAAGACCACAACCAGCAGTCAGCTGGTGGCACGATGGTAAAGGGAACTGGATCCCATGTGGCTGACTTTACAGTTCAAGTCCTGGACTCAACAGTTTGATAAGCATGCTAGGCACATGTGTATGCCCAAAATCCCAAGAGGAGAAGGGATTGTGGCATGGTCATCCCCACCGTGCTTTCTCCCTTCCTTTCTGTCACGCTCAGTCTCCAGTGAGCACATACAGACCCATATTTCCAGAGTCTCTTGGGCATCTACTGGAGATCCCACACAAACCCCAACTTAAACACTCCGTACAGAATTCATCACCATCCCTTGAAACTAACTCCCCCAGTCCAATCTCAGGCCATGGCACCTTAAACCCAGCTGCCCCTGCAGAAACCTGGGAGGCATCTTTAAGTGCTGCCTTTTGCTCACCTCCTCCTCCTCCGCAAATCTATGGCGTTTACCTCCAGAATCTCTATCTCAACATACCACATTCTAGTCCAGACCACCACAATCGCTTGCCTGGATCAGAGACAACCTCCCCACTGGCCTCTCTGCCTCCATTCAATCATCCACCAGTCAATTTTCCATCTACAGCCAAGATCTGATCTCCAAATTTAATAATGCTATTTGAAGAGCAGTTTGCAAATCATCAGTAGCCTACGGTAAGAATGGAATAGGCATCGGAAACACTTCATAACTTCACAGTGATTGTACGCTGCTGATTCTAACATGCAGAAACATGGACTTGCACTTTGTTGAGATACACCATTCTAGAATATATTATTGTGTCGCCCAACCATCCCTTATTAACCCTTCAAAGTCTCCCACCTCCTAGATAGGACCTTCTAAGTAACTCCCGACTCCCAAGCGCAAGGGCTATCTGGTTTGTTTCCTACCATCAGGACTCAGCACATGAAGGTCCCATCGAATACCTACTGAGTCCACCTGGCCACATGAGGGGCAGCCACTGTCCCTCATGGGTCCTAAGTCCCAGCCAAATGTCTAACAGTTTCTGAAACAAACCACGCTCTCCCCATCAGTCTCTATTCTTGCCTGGAATGCCTTCACCCTTTCACATCCCCTCTGCCTCACTTTGTCATCTTTTTCATTTCTTTCAGGCACCACCTCCTCTGGGGATGGTCTCTTATTTCCCAGGTCAAGTATCCCTTCCATGCATCTCAGACTTCACTAAACAAAATACTCAGGAACGGTGTAGCCAGTTCTGCTCTCAAGCTCAGTCAAGTGAGGAAGACTTTTTTTTTTAATTTGCTGCAGAGCATGTGAACTGGCTGGAAACAGAGTGAGAGGGGAAAGAGAGAAAACACCTCCGAGGGGGGATAACCATGCCACCATGTTTCTCCTTCGTTCTCCTCTCGGGGTTTGTGCACACACGGGCTTCTGGTCTTTTTCTTTTATTTAAGATCTATTTAATTCCATTTGTTGTTTCTTTTTTTGTTTTGTTTTGTCTTAATTTGGCCAGACGGGAACAGAGAGAGACAAAGGGAAAGAAAGAAAGCTGCCAGGTCCAGAATTTGAACCATAGTCAGCCATGTGGGAATCCAGAGGCCCCCCCCCCCACCCCCACGCCACACCACAACAC